TGTAGTCAGTCATCTCTGAAGGCTGAACAAAGAGAAATATCATTGAAAGAATGTAGCAAAATACTTCCTTTTTTTTTTCTTTTTTCTTTTTTTTTTTTTTTTTTAAAGGCAAGTTGTTAGCTCTTACCCTCAGTTCCTGGGGATATAAATATTTCAATGATCTCAAAAGCTCTGGGGGATATGTGTCTAAGGAAAGCTTGGCAGGTGAAAATAAAGTCACTATGCGAGCCAGGTAATGAAAGAAAAGAAACATTTGTTTTACAAGCTATTGGATATAAAGATGGCATTGATGGATGGAATGGATTAGTAACTAATAAAATGGGAAATTAGGGATTGACTGGGGGGTCTTGAAGAAGTCAGAGTGAGCACAAAGGAAAAAGTAGATCAAAAGACAAAAGAGAAGATCCCACAAATGATTAGGCATTTTGCATATTTTTCATTAGTTTTCTAATGGAATGATTCCTTCTTTGAGCTTATGATACAGTGTTATCTTCTCCTATCTGAGGCATCAAAGCTTAAATGTTCTGGTCTGATCATAAAGCCAGTGCTCTTCTTTCTGCCTTACATGTGTCTTACCATGATCCCTGTCCAATCTTTCTTTAAAGGAAAAGGGTTCCTCAATGAACTATTGAACCAACCAACTTTGAAACTTACTGGTTATAGACATTGTGCCAAAAACTGTGACATTAGGTCTCTTCCTGTTTCAGCCTGAGATTTTCATCATACTGGAGGTTTTTCTGGAAGGAATGAAGTAGGACTATGATCACTGCATCTTTGGTCCATCTTAGTTTTGATCTTTGAAATATGTCTTGACTGCCTGGATCGGATCCTTTTTCTTCCTCACTAATCAGGAAGACCCAAATGGAAATCTGAGATGTGTGAACTGGAGAAGATGGAATTGTGGCTCCAACTAGAAGAAATAGCTATAGATTCTGTAGATCTTCAGTCCTCAGCACATTTTTTATAGGTAAAAGGATATGATTGGCCTCTGGCAGAAAAATACAAAAACTGTCAACTGGGGAGTGTGAAGTAGGCATTTTTTGTATGGCATTGCTTGCTTAATGTTGTAACACAGTGACCAGTGAAACTCAGGATCTGCTGTTCAGGATGTTGGTAATGAAACTTTTAAAGACATTTTTCCACTGCCAAGAGGGGCAGAGTAACAATATCTGATGATTATGTGTCCCTATTCATGCTGCTTGGCTCCTGCAAAGCAGCAAGAGAAACACTTGACCTTTCGCGAACTTTTTCCTGAATCCTTGACGGAATCTGCAGCGCTGTTTTTTTTTTTTTTTTTTTTTTTTTTTTTGTCATTGTTAACAGTTGCTACTTTGGAAAAATCAGAATGTCTGCTGCTTTATGCTTTAGCCTATTTGAAACGAGATCAAAATGAAAATGATGTGTTTTATTCAAGTTCTTGAATATGAATATGGGAAACTTGAAAGAATGGTGTAATGTAGATTAGGAACGTGAAAGATATTAAGCTTCTCTTCTGACTTTTGCTTGTGATTTATTTTAAAGGTTCTTTGTCTATAGAATACTGTTTTTTAGAAACAAGTTCTATATTGGAGCTTTCATTCTTCCTACCTATATTTGAAGATTTCTCATTTGTAATTTCAGTTATAAAGCAGATTAACAAAACTGAACCCTTCAACTCTTGTATCTGGCGCTTTTGGGTATCATTCTCTGATCTTGGTTTCAGTCTTAAATTTATTCAGAAATATATTTCTCTGAATAAAGCAAGACCATAGAGACCTGATTCTTTTAAGCTTATGCATTTCTACTGTCAAGAGGGCAAATGCATTGCTCACCTTGAAACACTTTATTAAAAATAAACAACAAACACACTAACTTTTTTTTGTTGTAGATCTTCATGAATAACTATCTTCCTTTTGAGCTTCACAGCCTTTCTTTTTTGGTTGTTTGTTTGTTTTTTGTTTTCCACTACTGCTATGCTGCAAGCTTCAAAATATATGGAGTTTTTGGTATGTGCTTTGGTCCAGGTACTGTGCATTATCTTCTAAGCCAAAGAAATCATTGATTTGTTGCTAAGTATTTCTCTTTTTACGAAGAGAAGAATACCGTTGCATCAGGTATACAGGAGGTCTAGTGTCTGGAAAATGAACCCACTCTGTGCAGATGTGTTGGGGGTCCCTCGGCAATCCACCAAAACATCCTGGCGAGCTAATTATAGCAGCTGGAATGTCTCAGCACATGGCACAGTATCAAGCAGTAACACCCATCTGGGTGGGCTGGCTGCAGCTAAACCTTACTCTCTTGCTGGTCTTCCCTCCCTCATTCTGAATCCCTTGCCTGTTTTTAATCCTGTTGTAATTTAAACACCTGTCTCTCTGGAATGTGTGAAATGTCCCTTTACCTATGCTAAGTTATCTGCTCACCTGCTTTGGTTGGAAAGACAGCTTTCAAATAAACAATGATACAGTACGAGAGAAGAAAGCATACCACATTAATAGAGCAGGGGTGAGTTGGTAATTCATCAGACTAAATGCGTCTCGGTATCAGGATGATGAGGACAGAAGATTGGATAAAGTTATCCTATGTTCACACATGACTGTGTTTGCAAAGTTGTGATTCCTGTTGCTGACAAGCTAAGAATTTTATAGATCCTATTTCACTTACCATGTTGGCCCCTGCCTCATTTGCCGTTTTTGCCTTTTTTTTCTCTCCATCATAAACAATTTGTGGCCAGAAACTGTTAGGTATTTGTATGGTGCCTGGCACAGTTAGACCTAGATCTAATTTGATTGTTTTTATTGTTGCAATGAAAAGGCTTTATATTAAAGTCTGCCCAGTATGTCCCACCGTAAGACCTTGTTTTAAGATCTTAGAGGTTCCCTCCACACTGAGGATTCTAAGCTGAATTTCTCTGCACTTCTTGAGTACTGAGTCTTGAGACCCTTTTCTCCTCTGTTTTCAGTGGCCTGGTCTGTGTTGGGCTTGCAGCCTGGCTGACTTGAATGCAGAATAAGGAGAAATTCCACAAAGGTGTGGAGAACAGCTTGAACAAGGGGTCTTGTAAAATTTGGACCTGGACACAACATGGGAGAGGATGCTGAGAATTATTAGGGTGAAAAGACAGAAATTGAAGGATGTGTGGTATACGTGGTCCAAAGGGGAACCCAGGTGTTAGGACTGTATGAACAAATAGATTGGCAAAATGAGCAGGCTGGGGAGGGGAATAAAAACTAGAACAACTCGGATAGGGTGCGTGAGCAACTGGAAGAGGAACTAAGGACAGAAGTGTGGGGAGAAAGATCAAATGAGCTACTCCTATGGAAAGTTCCAAGGTCAGGAATGGTGTGGCTCAAAGGCCAGTAGTAGTGTGGACGCCAGCGCTGGAAGTTAGGAAGACTGAAACTGGAATGAGCAGAAAAAGGAGAATGATGTATGAAGTGTGGAAACTGGGACTGGATGAGAAGAACAATGCACAGACAAGGAAGACTAATGGGAAAGGATCGAACTGGGAATGGATGAGACAGAAGGGGCTCCTTCTGGAGACATGGGCAGAAAAATAGCATGCAACCATAATAATTTAACTCTGTCCAGAATTTGAAGTAGAAGTTAAGCATTCTGAAGTCAGGAAAAGCTTAGATGCCTTGTACTACAAAACCACTGAGGGGGTGACAACCTGTTGTGTTTCCAGATCCAATGTTAGTTCACATTCCAGAGTTCAGTCAGAGGATATGAAGTCTGCCGGCCTGCATAAGACTGTTGTAGGTATGAGTGTAGTATTATGTGATGAAGCTTGTATACCTTTGTTTTAGTACAATTTCACATGAATTCTGGTAAAAGAGTATTGTTAAGATAACAAAGCTGGGAATTCACAAACTATGCTTGAGCATTTAAAGGAAGTTAGGTCATACTTGAGTGACTTAATGAGCATCACCTTTGAGATCTGGAGCAGATGTAGGGCTAGTCTTCAGGCTCTTCTTTCTGGTTGCCCTGTGTCTCACAGGCTATGTGCTTTCCAGTTACCACAGAAATGAGCAGGGGCAGTACAAACAAGTCTTGTTTAGCATGCAACCTTAATCTAGATGCAGAACCAGGTCTGTTCTCTGATCCTAAAAAAGCAATATGTGATCTTGTAATTAAAGGCAGTCAACCTTTATAGTGTTTTGTAACCTTCATAAAATGTTTTTTAAATATAAACCATCATTTACGCTTCTATAATAGATACCATTGCCTTATGAATGTAGTCTCTCTTCAGTAAACCAACAGGTAGAGTCTGCTTGTAGAGTTTGTTCTTTTTAGAAGATGAGCAGCACAAGGAGAATGCTCAGAGAAAGAAACAATGGAATGCATTTTATATGCTTAAAAACACATTGATACTTGCTTTGCAGTTTGATGTAACAAACGTCTACCAAACATGATTACAGGCTGTCATTAACTAACTTGTATAGTTACCAGTGTGAACACTTTGAAGGTGGTTTGGGTGAGAAGTTTTATTCATGTGTGGTGTAGTTTGATACTACGTTTTATATCCAAGGTATATCTCTGTGCATAGATGGGGAAGGTAGAGAGGAGACAGATGTGTATGGATGGTTTGGTGACACAGCTCATGATGAAAGGGCAGATACACTGAGCCCTGCTCAGAAAGAGTAATATAAGCATCTAGCTTTTGATTGTAGATTTAATCTTTTAATGTAGAGTTAATTTTTACTTCATCCTTGTTATTTGTTCCATGGCAGGAAATGCTTTTGTGCTTTAGGATTTTTGCCCGATTCTTGTTCTCATCCTCCTTTGTGCTTCTGTGAATGGAAGGATTGTAGTTTTAATGCTGGTATGTGAATTCATCTCAAGCATGGTTGCTGTTGGTGTCATCTCTGGCTCCTTTATGTAGCTAGCAAAATTCTTCTGCATCTGAAGATTGACTTCTTTAGCAGTCTTTAGTACATACTCTCTCCAGTTTACTTAGTGTCACCTTTTGTTTGTTTCTTGGCTTTTAACAGTTTCTGATGTCTTTTTCTTTGCCTCTTCAGTTAACAAGCTTAAACTTGGCAAGTGGAGCTGTAAGCAAGGGGAATGCAGCTGGGCCCCAGAGCTACCGGTCAACAGTCAACAGGAAAGGGTCACTGTGGGCTGTTCAGTCAGACACTCATGCAGCTGACAGAAGATCTTCAGCAGTCAGGTAAGATAAAGCTGGTGTTCCAAATTTTTGAAGGGGCATGTATGGCACTCAGGAGCTCATTCATAACTTGTGTTTATCCTCTTGCTCAGAAGATAACATCTAAGGGCCAAGAACCAGTTCTTTTCATGTCTATCCTAGACACTAGGCCTGCAAAACCGAACTTGTTTCCAGTGCTGGCAGGTTCATGGTGAAATAAGGAAATAAATGAACATGTGGAATGGAAGGGAAATGTCTGTTTCTCTTCCCTGATTATTTCTTATCCTGGTATTTGTGAGTCTGGGTTCACTGCTGTTGAGACATGCAGAGTACAAACCTATTCCTGATACTGCAGAAATCACCACCAAGGCCTCATCTTCATGTATTTTCCTAGAATATCAAGTTTAAGTTGTTCAAAGATAGAGTAACATCCTGTAGTGTTATACTAAGTTTTCTTTTGTGGCTTCCTTCTGCTCTTTATTAATTTTGGATATTGGAATTTTTGTGTCTGATACACTCATGGGACACAGGGCAGAGGACCATGATTCTGCAGTTAGAAAAACTATTCTTTCTGGGACTGAAAGAGCAGCAATATTTACTCCAAGGATTCTGGATCTTGGAAGCTAAGAGCAAGGTGAGCTTGCTGCAGAAGGCTGGACCTAACACAGGCCCAGAACCGCTTGGGATTTCTGATTTCTTCCTTTGCCTGAGTTTGCCTTCTTGTCCTTTTAAATAGAATAATGAGGCAGGGCTTCCACAACACAAGTTTAGGACTTTAATTTGCTGTGTACATGAAAATACTGATTCTTGCCATTGGTACCTGAATGCTACTGGAAAATGGAGGACAGATATGCAGTACAGAAGGAATACGTGACCTGGGTGGTCATCCTTTCCCAAACGGGTCCTTCAATAGGAGGATTGGAATGGGTTTTGGAAAGCTCAAGTAAAATTGTTCTTATTTCATCAGTCACTGCTTTTTGTCCTGCCTAGAGAAGAGGAATGTGAGAAATGAATTCCTGGCCTGTTTCTGTTCCAGCACAATGTTTGCCTCTGGGGTTTGGAGTTATTGAGAGAGGTGGTGATTCTGTTCTTGGAGCTGAGCCAGGGGAGCTATTACCTAATCCAAATAAACACCTATCCAACAGGTGTAAGCTGCCTTCCCCTTCTACACAGTTTTAGAGAGCAGCAGCGTGCAGGCTGGCCTGGAGCTTCTGTTCGTTTCTCATCTCTGCAACTCTGCATGGATTCAGACATGGCTGGAAAGAAATTACTCAGTCAAAATCTTCTGTTGTGGATCTCTGTGGAAGGCATTGTAATTACCACATTTTTCTGAAACCATTTCTGTTATGTCACTACCTGTAGATCTGACAGCCCAATTTCTAATGTCCAGAGCTCCACTCTGAACCATTTCCAGAGCCGTGCCTCATCTAGCATTGTATTTGTAGTTCAGTGAAGAAATTTGTTTTATTTCATACAAAGATCCAAAATACTTCAGAAGCGTCTGACCACAGCTGGTGATTCCATCTTCAAACTTTTGATGAAACATTTGGGCTTTCAGTACTTGAGTTATTCTGTTGTTATTCTCAGAGCAAGACAAAGAAAGATATCTTAAGAGCCTTTGTTGAATTATTTTATCTTTGTGGCTGCTTATGTCAAATGGCCAGAATTTGCCGGGAGTTAAAAGTTTTACATAAAAATGGAAATGAAAAAAAGTAATTTTTGAGGCAGTGCTAGATTCCATGAGCTGTGAACTTGTATTTAATGAAAGAATTCCAAAAGGAGTATCGAGGTTATATATGGGGATGGCTATCTTGTGTTGCAAATGCCTTTTTTGCTACTCAGTCTGTTACATTGGAGCTCAGCAGTTCACAGAGGGTCATCTGATGGGTGTCAGCCTGTGCTCTGTACTAGATGACTGTTTGAAGAAAAGCTTCCTGTTTTGTTCCATTGAGGTTCTGGTCTATCAGTTGTAGAATTCAGCAGGGATGGAAATATTTTGTCAATGGGTCTCTTATCTGGCTTGTGCTTGGCTCCAGTTCAAACATCTGCCTCTGAAGCTCAGTCCCTACAGCTTTTGTATGGCTCTCTGGTAAATCTGAGCCATCTTAGTGCTTCTGAGGCTTGAAAATTTGATTTTGATGCTTTTGAGCTATGGGATTCAGGCTATTAATGACAAATCTTCCTCCTCTTTAATTCCCACTCTCCCAGTACTGACTTATCTAATTTTTTTTTTTCTGAACAGAAGTTAGATCTCCATTCTTTTGTTGAATTCCTTTGGCTGTATGAGAAGGGTTACCCAATCAATAATCTGCTTGCCAAGAGGCAAAGGAGATCTTGAGTTTGTAATACACAGAGAACAGTTCTGGATACATTAAAAAGTTATTGTACGAATCTGTAGTGCTGTCCCTTTTGAGACTTTTTTGTTTTAGTCACTTTCTTTGAGCTTTGTCTCTATTCCCACTCAGCTTGTGATTTAGGCTTTTGCCATGCCCCGGACAAAGAAGCCTGCAGGGCAGTACAAGAGGTGAGATGTTCCGAAGTTGCATTATCGTAATAGAGCTGTCCGAGGCCCTCTACCATGTTTGTAGCAGCCCAGCTTTTATTGCCCTTTGAAGCTCCCTGCAGCTATACTAAATCTGCTCTTTCATTCTTTAACCCTAGTCTTGAGGGCCTTATTTCAGTTCTGTCTCATCTTCTCACTCTATCAGGCAGGATTTTCACTTATTTACTTTCTGCTGTAAAGGCATTAACATGTTACAGTTACATGTTTTGTAATTTAAGATTACCATTGATAATTTTTACAATATTAATAATGTAACCTAAGGACAACAAATATGAAAATGATTCCTTATTATCCTTTGGAACTCATGTCCAGACATGGATACTAAGACCTTACTAGAACTGGGGCATTGAGCAGCTCTTGAAAGCATTCTCAGTTGCACGATAAAGGTAGAAAGTAGTGTTTAAGAGAATGAAAGTTGTTGTTCAGAACCTAAACTAATTTCTCAGTACCCATTGGCAAATAGTTGCACAATCACTAGTGATGAGGATGGTCGACTTTCCTAGAAGCTTCTGTCACTGGAATCTGCAGCTGCTGTGTCACTTGTTTTTGAAATTCTCCTCAAAGAATCACTTGGACTCTGCAAATCACTTTCTGTCCAAGACCTGAATCAAAGCTAATGAGTTTTTTTTTCTAATTGGTACAGATTTCTGTGTTTTCAGCAGGCACCTTGGATTCAACAATAGCCACCCTTTTCCAGGTTCACCTTTTTGAACTCATACAAACAGTCTGTTGGCAAGAACTCAGTGGTGATTCGGTCACTGTTTTCCCACACCTCTGTTTCATTAGCTTCTTGTTCTTTCATGACATCTTTCTCAAAACTAAAGACAAAATCAACCCAGCTTAGCATATGGTTGCCTTGGATCTTCTGACAGATTTATCTAACTTGGTCAGGGGAGGCAGGCAAGCAAGCTTCTCTATCACCATTCAGAGGGCAGAATGGCAGTCCAAATTATATCAGGCAGCTTGGGAGGGCTACTGCAGTCAGAAACAAAGGGTTCTGCTCTTCTTGTTGTTTAACATGCTCAAAATACTTCTTTGCTCACACATTGAGCCAAGGTGCTCAGGTTCATCAGAAAATGACGTTTTGTTGGCAGGCACACTAATCTGGGTTATACAGTATAAAATCAGAGTTTAGATTTTCTGATCTAGGAGTATATAGGTTGAATTCACTCTGTTATCATTATTAATAGTAGTAACAACTCAGAGCATTGTGGGCTGTGCGCATATAGTGGCCATATGTTCAGGTTCCCAAACAGGTTCTATTTTGTGTATTTTCATATTTTTTTTTTCCTTGCCTGGAAATCTCGAGTGGGATGGGAAACTAGAAGATTCCGTGCAGACGTTTGTCATCTCAGGCTTTCAGGAACCCCAAACCGTATGCCTCAGGTCTGAAAATCCTGTTTTTCTGTGTCAAAGGGGTAGCTTGTTTTACATAAAGGGAAGGTGAAAGTGGCTTCACTATTTGCTCAATTTTTTATTTTAAATTTTCAAGATGTAGAAGGTAAAATATGAAATCAGGCGAGTGCTTGGACCTTGACTAGACAGGATATGAAGAGCTACGAGTAGAATCATACTAGAATAGCCAAGGGATGTGCTAATGTACAAGGTGGTTCTCACAGTGCTAGAGGGTGAGAAGTTGATGGGATTGTCTTGTTTTTTTTTGCAAGACTCGTGCTAAGGTGGGCTTAGCATGGATCTTGCAGCAGGGACTCAGGGAAAGAGCTAGCTACATATAGGCTTGCAGCTAGAAGTAAGGAGGAGAGAATTCCTAGTAATCTTGACAGCTAATGACAAGTTTTTGTAAGAATAGATCTCTTTCTCTTTGTTGCCATGCAGTTCTGCATCTGAAGGGTTAGTAGTGACTTTACACTCTTCCAAGTTGCTTGATTCAAGCTCCTTGCAGTCACTTGCCAGGTAGAGACTGTCCATTCTCTGTGCTGTGCCCCGCTTGCCAAGTATGCTTGCTCAGCAGCTGGGTGCAGGCTAATGTTGAAGAGTCTGTGCTGTACTGATACCTCTGGAGGAAATGAAAGGAGAAAACAGCAGGCGCTGAGGGCTACAGAACAGGCCTTCAGTTTCAGGAAAGTCTGTGCTGACCTTACACTTCCAGCTAGGCAGCACAAAAGTGCCAGAGCAGCAGCAGACCAAGACGACTGAGTGCAGTCCTGTGCCAGCACTGCCATGTGTCTGTTCCTTCCTCCTGATACAACTTGTCCCCTTCACTTTCCCTCTTAGAGGAAATGTCTGATTATGAGCTCAGTCTATCTGCGCTACACTGCATTTTCTGCAGGCTTCATAATTACCATACAGTCTTTTTCATTCCTTCCTAGTGTAAAGATGTTGCTTCTAATACCCAGCACTAGCAAAATGTGCTGTCCTCATTCTTGCTGAGGGGCAGAAGAGTCTTGAGCATGAAGCAAATCTAACATGGGTTATTCTAATGCTGCTACCTTTGATTCTT